TAAACGCCAGCTCACAGTCTACAAATTAGATAAAAGATGATGTTGACAACTTCAACAATGCTCACAACGGTGCAATGTGATCAGAAAAATGATCAACAAAACAACTGAGATACTACACTTTGCCTAACAAGTGCTACACATCTTACACACACTTCAGAATAGGGAATTTTAGAAACGCCACAAGTTTGTTAGGATCAATTTGTAAACCCTCACAAGAAATACGATACCCAAGATAGTGTTTTTGGACCCAAATACACATTTCAACTGCTTTAGATTTAAACCAATGTCCCGTACCCAATCTAACACTTTATAAGCATCACAGATGTGTTCCTCCCATGTCCTCTCTGAGTGGATTAAGACATCATTGATGAAGTCAACAATCACCTTAAGCATATTGCAAAAAACCTTGTCTATCATCTGCTGGAAAGTTGCTGGAGTATTGTTCAAACTAAACAACATCACCAAAAACTCATATAAACCAAACAGTATACAAAAAGCAATCTTAGGAATATCTACTTTGGCCATCGGTACTTGCTAGTACCCAAAAACAATATTTAATTTGGTGAACCAATGCCTTATCCCCAAACGATCCAAGAGATCAACATTGTGAGGAAGAAGGTACACATCCAGGATCGTCACTTCGTTTAATGGACGATAATCGATACAAAAACAAATATTCCCATAAGGGTTCGTCACAAGATAAAGTTCACATGCCCAAAGATTCCACAACTTCTAAATAACTACCTTTTCCAACATCTCCTTGATGTTTGCACATAAAATTTTAATCTTTTTGGGTGACTGATGATGAATAAGAACCTTAATTGGACAAACATCCTCAATTGGAATAGGATGACATGTTGCAATTTTAACCTTAGACAATAGGTCAAATTCAAAGATATCAACATACACCTTCATGAGTCAGTTAACTGCTACATCATAAAGACTGTTGGAGGGATCGAAGAAGGAAAGAGAGGAACAAGATAGAAACTTAAGAGGAAGTAAAAGGGAGACAGAAATGATGGAAGCAGAGGTAGAAACAAAGGGACAAAAAATTACAAAAATGAGAGGAATGGAAGAAATATTAGGAAGTATGAGATAAAGGGGAGAAACCTCAAAGTCATACTTGGCATGATTGCACCGCAACCAATTTATACCAAGGATGAGGTCAAAAGCTTAACTCGGCACTACTCGCAATAACTGTAACTCAAGCTTAAGATTGCCTATACACACAACTAGGTCCGCTTTATTCTGTGCACATGCATGTGTACAACTGTTGCTCTAAAGAGTGAAAACTAGCTTTGCCACACAATGCAAATGTAGATAGCAACATATAGCAACAGGTTGAGCAATAAAAAATAACTCAAACTTATATCAACTAACATAAAGAGAATAATAGGAGACTTCTTATTATAAAAATGAGCTTGGAAAATAAACACTAAATGAACTCGTGCTGAGTTGAACCCCTTGATAATACTCCCAAAAAGAAAGATGAAGGGGTCACTAACTTATTCATGCAAGGTCCCTCCTTGTGCATCTCCTCATTTTCTAAATGCATCTCGGTGTCCAAACCTTCCATTGCAATATCACTAACAAAACATTGTTGACGCCAAAGTCTCCACCCAGGAAATAAAAGCCGCCAATCCAAAAAATATTGACAATGATGATAAGTGTGACCAACTTCATCACACGCCCAACAATGGATATCACGACCATGATCACATCCTTGCCCTTGTCCTTAAACTTAGGCAACAACAACATTAATTTCCATTGGAATAAGACCATCTCTCACAAGAAGTGGAGTTCAAGGACATGTAGTGAGAAGTGGAAGGACAATGTTTTATAACATTGTGCCAAATGAAGAGCATAATCAAGGGTGGCTAGAGCAAGTATATGTATAAGTTCTACAAGATCTTGATGAAGTGTTGGCCACATCATTTCCAGCTTGATCCGCTCCGATATATTTGGCTCTGCACAAAGCAAAAGGCTTTAGAAACAAACGCTAAACTGCATTATTGACTCAAATAGCCCTTGATGAAAACAATGTAATTGTTGAAAGGCATTATTACAATCATTAACATGTATAAATGTGCATTTAAAGATGTCTAAGAAAATACTCCAATCCTCACGAGTGGCTACACTCAAACCATTGTACTGCTGTAGTGCCGTTACTTTGAGACATGTAGGAAAGTTACACAAACGTCAAGCATCATCCTAAGAATTATATGTGGCAATCATTGTGAAATGATTGAACCAATGGTACACATCATCCCTAGAATTCCCATGGACGAACTCTAATTAAATACAAGGATTGGCAACAAAAGCAAAAAAAGTTATACCACATGCTATGAATGTTGCCATCAACTAAGTTTGGTTATTTAATTGCGATCATATAGCATTGACCAATTGCACCAACTGCTACTCTAGAGTCAAAGGAGGAGGAGATTGTTGCTTTACCATGAAGATGAATAAAGAGGAAAGAGCAAAAGAAAAGAAATGGAAAAAAGTTAAAAGGAAAAGGAGATTTAAACAATGTAAAATTTAAATCTAAACCAAAAATCCCAAATTTAATCACTCTTCAGGGACAATCAAAGTTGCCCCTCATCTCCACCAATGTCAGTGCATGGAAAGAAAATACAACAAATGTACATATCAATTAGCCCAAAAACCCTAATTTATATATAGGAGCGAATGGTCTAAATTAAAACCAATCTGATGGCTGCCAAAATCTCATTATGTTAATATTAGTATATGGCATTGTAACAATACACTTGAACCTCACAACTAAAAGATTTTAATTTTCTTTAAAACATTTAATATTTTTAAATTGATGATTAATGGAGATATAAATTGCATCATCTAACTAAAGGGACAACAATCTTGACAAAAGGAATTAATATGTATTGCAATTGAATTCCAAATATGACTTAAAGCATTCACTTTAACTAACTTATATGCAAATTATTTATAATATGATAGTTGCTCCACTGCATTATTTACTTTAAATTCTTGGTGATATAGTAAGCTCAAGAGGAACTGCTCTAGCTAGTGTCAAACCAGATCCTTCACTCATATCAAGTTCCTTGCCGCTAGGGTTCTTCCACTCAAAGCCATGCACAAGGTTGGCCAGGACGAAATGCACCACTCGCAAACCAAGCTGTATTCCAGGGCACCCTCTTCTTCCAGATCCAAAAGGGAGCATCTCAAAGTCGCGCAAGCCAACAATGTCGATGTTTCTCTCCACAAACCGCTCCGGCTTGAACTTGAGAGGCTCCTCCCAGCAGCGCTCATCCCTGGCGATCTCATAGTTATTGATGAAGACCCGTGTTCCCTCCGGAACAAAGTAGTCCATCACCTGGCAGGGCTGTGCCGCCTGGAAGATGAGTATCGCACCAGGCGGATGGAGACGAAGGGTTTCTTTCACCACTGCGCCCAGATAGACGAGTTTGTCGAGGTGGGCTTCTTCTACCTTGAGTGACGATGGCCCGACCACGCTGTGTAGCTCTTCCAGGAGCCTGGACATGACACTGGGATTGTTGATGAGCTCCGCCATCGCCCACTCGATCGTCACTGCGCTAGTGTCTGTTCCAGCACCGATCATGTCCTGCGAATAGAGATCATAACAATAGTTTCCAATGCTAATTTAACAAGATCAGGAACTCACCAGGACGATTGCCTTCATGAAGGAATCCGACTTGGAGAAGAGCTCATTTCGCAGCATTATGCTGATGAAATCGTCGCCAATATCCGCGCCTTTCCTGCGCTGCTCGTCGACCAGCCGCTGCATGTACTCGTCAACTTGCTTGTACAAGCGCTTGGCATGGGCCGCTTTTCTCAAGTCGAGCCACTGCAGCCATGGCATGATGTCTCCCACGTAAAAGTCTCCCATCGCGACGAACACCTCCTTTAGCAGGTGCTTAAACCGCAGAGCTTCCTCGTTCCTCCGGTGGCCATTCCCCACAACTTTTCGCAAGATCATGCCGTAAGTAACATCAGAGATCACCTCCGTGAGGTTAACAGTGCCCGGCATTGGACCCCTCGAGGCCTCCACAAGCTTTGCCACGGCCAGAGCCATCTCCTCGGCTCTCGCGGCTTGCGAGCGCTGGATTTGCCTCAACGTCAGTAGCTCCAGAGTGCAAAGCTTCCTCACGTTTCGCCAGTACTCGCCATATGGCGTCCATAGAATTCCATCGGCACCGAAAATCTTGCCTGGATAGATAGAACGAGCGTCGAGGGTCACAAACTCATCACTGGACACTGACCTGGTGTTAGAAAAGGCCTGGAAGAATAAGTGGAGTCGCGGACTCGGATGGCCTCTCTGGCGGCTTGGGCAGAGGAGATGACCAAGTAAGGAGAGCTCCCAAACTTGAGGGACACACAAGGGCCGTGCTCTCGAGCGATTTCCCCGAAGGCACGGTGGAGATGCTTGCCAAGAACCAGATGCAAGTGCCCGATTAGCGGGAGTGCTCTTGGCGATGGCGGCAGCGAGCATCCAGCTCCTCCAGATGGTGGGCGAAGAATCCATGATTTCACGAGGAGAGCCACGGAGAGCCCGAAGAGCACTGCAAGCGGAGCGATCCACGTCTCCATAGCTCTCGCAAATTATCAAACTCTATTAATTGACTTTGAAGACACCTGGAGTCAGTCGAGTTTTTCTCATTTTGTTCTTTTTTCTTGACCAGTAAAAGGAAAAAGTTCTAGAATGAGAGCGTTTCTTTCTGAGAAAGGTCATTTAAACCCGAATCCATTGGCGTTTATAAAAATTACATAAAATCTTTCTTGCGAGAGTTTTAGCTAGCGCTAGCGATGGAGCTCTAACAATCTCTCATGCATGGAAGAGAGAGAGAGAGAGAGAGAGAGATTAATCTTCTAAAAATTTAGTGCTAGCGATGGAAGGAATCTAGCTCTCAAAAAAAATTATGCGTAGAGAGAGAGAGTTTACCGAGTTTCTCTACCTAGGGCTTTTGCTCCTAGATCGGTCGATCAATCCATTGATCGACCCAATGGCGTCGGCGTCGTGGGCGCTGCGGCTGCGCGAGCTGAGTGAAAGGTATGGCAAGGTCGCGGTGGGCGTGCATTTCTCCGTGTCCGCCATCTCCACCGGGACCATCTACCTGGCCATCAAGAACAACGTCGATGTGGTAGCGCTCCTGGAGAAAGTGGGGCTCGTCTCCAAGAAAGCCCCCGAGGACAAACTCAGCGGCGCCGCCGGAGTGGAGCGAGTCTGGAGCGAATCCGAGGAGAGCAGCGGCAGTCCCGACATGGCCCAGAAGATCGATGATCCCAGCGACGCCGACGCCGACCCTTCTGCTCCTCCGTCCAAGGAGAAGAAGCGATCGGATGGGGCCATGGGAGCTCTGGGCCTGGCTCTTCTCTGCAACAAGGCTCTCTTTCCAGTCCGTGTTCCAATCACTGTCATGCTCACGCCGCCAGTTCATCGCCTCCTCACCCGGATCAAAGCTCGACTGTGATCCATCCCATCCTGCTGGAAAGTAGTCCACGAATCGAGGTAGCTTGAGCTCCATTTTTTTTTTTGGCTTTGCTCTCTTTGCGTCGAGTTTTCGTAGAGTCCAGTCCTTGTCCTTTACGTTCGCATATTTCCTGCTTTCTTCTTCACGGGGACTCCTGAGAAGGGATGAGCTCCATTTTTTCTTCCCTCCAGCGTCCCCAGCATTGCGTGCTTTCGCTGTTGTTTACGTTCCTTCTTCACGGGGATTGCCACTGTCGGTAAAGCTTTCTTCTTCCTGCAGCGGTCCCAACTTCTAACCACTGGTCTTGCTCTGCTTCTTCTTCGCCACCACCTGTTTCTTCTCCGCCGGTTTCACCTTGATCACGGAGTCGTAGATCTTGACAGCCGCCGGGTTCCATCCCAGCACCATCTTCCGAAAGCTCGCATTGGTGTAGTAGAACACGCCCTTCCACTTGATGTCCACGTCCTGCCTCATCAATCCGCTGAGCAAAACCAGCGCCGCCACCCGGAACCGCGGCCTCAACCGCTTCTCGAGGCTGTAGAGCATGTAAGTCGGCGACTTGAGCATCTTCTCCCGGGGCAGCTTGACGCAGTCGAGCAGAAACCTCATCTTGAGCTTGAGCGACTCGTCACCCACGCGCAGGATCCTCGGCTGCTTGCGAAACATCTCGTGGACTTGCGCAGTGGAGAAGCCAAACGCGCTCATCCTCTCCAGCCGCTCCGGGATGATCTCCATCTTCGTCAGCGCCGCGATGCTGAGCGCCGACTTGTAAGATCTGGCGCTCCTGCTCAGCCCCGCCGAGCGGAGAACGTCCTCTCTCGCCGGGAGCGTCGCGGCGGAGCGGAGAGATCCCGGGTACCAGGCCACCATCTGCGCCATCCTCTCGCCATCCAGGCCGTGGCGCTTGAACAGCGGCATGCACTCCTCCATGGTCACGTTGCTGCTCTTGAAGAACCACGGGTAGCGGAGAAGAATGCGCTCCAAGTTCTTCCCCACCACGGACCTCTCCGCCACGAACGCCAGCTTGATCTTCCACATCTCCAGGCTCAGCGTGGCGGCGCCTCTGGACTTCTGGAGCACCAGCCCGAAAGCTTTCCTGGACACCCCGAGGCTGCAAACCAGCCGCGTCTTCTCCTCGAGGTCCTCCACCGTGAGCAAGATCGGGCGCTTGGGGATGTCGCTCTTGCCGATGCCCAGCCGCCCCAGGCTCGCGATCCTGGTGGAGAGGCTGGCGGGGTCCTGCGCCACCACCTGGGGGACGATCCGGACGATCCGGTGGACTTGCTTCTCGTCGCCGAGCTCGCGGAGAATGGCCAGGATCTTGTCGAACTTGGCTTGATCGTAGGCGACCTTGAAGAGACATGGCTGTGCTCGGAATGCGTCGCTGATGTGGCGCCGCGAGAAGCCGTTCTTCACCAGGAAGATGATCACTCCCGAGAGATTGAATGCCGTGCTGCCGCTGGACTGCCCATTCTTGTCAATCCTGTCCGTGTAGAGCGACACTAGCTTGTCTAACCCGGTCTCGGCGAGGAAGCCTGGATCGACGAGGTCGTCGCTCGAGTGTGCCGCCATTTCGGACAAGAACCCTAGAGGAGGAGCGACTGACCTGCTAGAGCTGTGGATCTTGCTTGCTCCATCCCAGTTAGGGCACACACTGGATAGAATAAAATGCAATACCTGAGAAAAAAGAGAGAAAAAAAGAGAAAAGTCACCACCTTGAAATGAGAAGATTTTTTATTTCATCGAAGTTTAATTTCAATAATTTACTGTGCGTTGCATGCAACAGCACTTTATCTACTTAATAGTAGTTATAAATATGTTTATAATTTGTAAATCAAGATCAATTTTATTGCATATTAACCATTCGATGGTAGAATAAAAAAGAATATTTTAAAAAGTGTTTAGGAATGTTTATAAATTATAAACATAAAAAATTAATCTAAATAAATAACAACTGTTAAATAGTAAAATATCCTAAAATATTCAAATATATTTTAAGTATATTCATTAACATCTTTCCCCTTACAGGTTTGCACCAAAAACTTATGTTATTGTCAAATTTCGCACACCCTTTTAGGGCATATAATTTGGCACAAAGGTTTGGCAACTATGACGTATACGGAGGAAGAAAGGAAGCTGTCTCTGCATAGCGACGTGGTCGAGCTCTGCTCCCACGTCGGGAAAGAGTATGCTTCAGCAGTGTCTCGGACGCTAAACATAGGGCGCGCGTTGAGAGGTTTCCGTAGGAATCTCTATCACACCGCTTACCCAGAAAGGGATGGGAACCTATACGACCTTGTCATGCTGCTCTATGCTGGAAGCCTTCCCCTCGGAGTTTCCAGTAATGTCGTCCGGGAAATCTCTCAGAGTGTGCGTGCTGGTTCCCTCCAACACGCCTTGACGTGGTTGCGCGAACCAGGTGGGTGGTTTTTCTTTTCAGTTCCTCATTTACTCTTTTGCAAAGTTTCAGCCTCTCAGGCTCGCCGTGAGGTTGACGCACTGGCCAAGTCCGAGTATTTCCTAACACCAGACAAATCGGTAAGCGTGCGCCTATGTATCTTCGTACTTCTAATCGCCATTCTCGCAGACACTCGCGGAAAGAAACCCCTACGCCGCCTGCCAGGTTGAAGCTGGATGTCCCGAGGAGCTCCAGTTCCTCACACAGGAGCATGGATTCCAGGCCATCCTGGTGAATGCCCGGCCGGGCTTGGAGGTGGAGGACTTGAGCGAGGAAGAGATCGTACTTCTCCTGCATGCTCTACACGCAGAGAACTCTCCGTTGGCGAAGCTCATGCGGCCACTTCCTTTCCTGACGCATCAGGAGAATGTGGCTGTCGCACTGCAACACGCGCGGCTCTTCCTGCTCGGGGCTCTGCTTCCGGTTGCCTTCGCCATAGACATCACCTGTGAGTGTTGCAACACACTATTTCCTGCCTCTCAAGTGCTCCATCTCTTATTTCCTTCGTTTTTGCTACAGATGCCGATCTGAGGCACTTGGTTGGACCCTGCAACTCGTTTCCTTGTTGTCAAGCCAGCAAGTACCAGCTCATAGTAATTGGTGTTTCATTTCTTGCCTCGTTTAACATAACTCTTTTCAGCCAGCGGCAGACGAGGACGTGATCGCTAAATGGCGTTGCTGGAAAAGGCCGCTATTCCGCTGGTATGCACTCATTGTAGTTCTTGCTTTTTCCTTGATCGTGAAAATCTGCTCGGTATGCTGCAGGCTTGACAATCCTGATCGTCTACCATCAGGTATGGAGACAAACCTGAGATTGACAACGATAAGTAGCCATCTGCTGGCGAAGAAGGAACCGAGCATGGTTGTCGTCCATGAGACGAGTACCGGGTGTCCAGCGGAAGCACCATTGTTTGTGCGGCAGCTACTACGCCTGCGGTCACCACACTGCTTTGATCCGACGAGAGAGGAGCCCCGTGACTGGAGAGAATGGAACAGTATCCTGGTTCACACCCAGGAAGAGGAAGAGGAGGGCCACGGTGATGCACTTGACCAGGCCACGTATGCCGAGTGGGAGTTTGGAGAGTCCGAGGAGATGTTTGCGTTGCTCACAAGGCTCTAAGGAAGTTCTCTCCATCTCTCTCCACAAACTGCGTCTGGACCCTGTGTAGTTGCTCTTAGCGAGAAAAAAAAACGTGGAACAACATGAAAGGAATGACCTGGTGGTGTTTGGGGTGGGGACGAGCGCTGCGACCTGCAAAATGAGAATTGTTTGACGATTTTTCTAAGTTGGCCAGAGTTACCTGATCTTATTATCATCATTAGAGCTGGGCAGCCTATCTCCTATGGTAGTTCATGGCTCGTCCTGCAAAACTTATCTTAGAACAAATCCACCAGAAACAGTAATTCTCAAACCTGTGTTTTTTGAAAATTGCATGTTTCTCCATGCGCAGAACTGTAAAAAGAAAAATAGAAAAACAGAAAACACTCACAGAGAAGTATTAGAACCGATGGCGTCGAGGAACGCCATTTTGCCACGATCGCGCTGGTTCGCGATCATGGACTTCCTAACCTAAGACATGGATGCATCATACATACAAGCTCCGGAAGCAATGCAAACTTACAAGAAATCAATACGCTTACCGAATACAGCGACTGTTCAAGGCACTGTATGTTTCCCTTGCCTTCGTTCGAACCGCTGCTTTCGCTGTGTCGGGATTGCCAAAGACTTGCCAGAACCTGAGTGTTTCGTCTCCAGCGGCAGAAGCAACTGTGTAGCCATCAGGACTCTGCAACGAACACAGCGTGGTTAGATACCAGCTGATGGAAACCAAGCAAGAACATCTACCTGCGCCAAGTGCAAGACTCTGGATGTGTGACCGGTAAGTTCCGCCATCTTCACCATAGACGGGTACTTCCACAAGATCAACTGGTTCTGGCTGAATCCATGCGAACTTAGCAGCTCTCTCTCATGCTTGCTCCACTGCAACGCGCACACCTGAGAGCCCGTGTCGACGCTTTGGATGCAAGCTCCAGTGTGCGTGTTCCAGAATTTGATGCATCGGTCTGCAGTGCCACCCCCGGAGGCCAAGAGATTGCTCTGGAAAGGACACCAGGCAAGGGCTTTGACAGCCGCTTGATGCTCGTCCAGACGATGCAGATACGAGCTTGTACCACCGGAAACAGCAGCGGCGGCATCCCAGACGTGAAGAAGGTTGTCATTACCACCGCTAGCCAGCTGCTGTCCAGAAGGCGACCACTTCAAGCCGCAAACTTCCTGCTGGTGTGCTACCATCTTGCCAGTTACGTGCTCACGGATGCGAACGTCATGGTTGAAGATAACGTTGTCACGACCCCCGGTACTGAGAATCGGACCATTCCAGGCCAGGCTTCCAACTCGAGCAGAGTGGGCCTTGAGAGATCGCACCTGTGTGGCACCGCAAGCTTTTTTAGTTCCTGAGATCCAAGACACAATCCTACACTTCACTGTACCTGGCGAAGAGACAATGAATCCCAGAGCTGCACGTCCGCATTGCTAAGGCCGACAGAGATATGCTTGCCGTCGGGCGCCCAAGCAACGCTAGTCACGGGACCGTCCTCCTCGTTTGCTTGCATGAGCTCTTCGATGTTACCCGTGCTCGCGTTCCAGAGGTAGACGGTGTGTCCGAGAGCGACCGCGACCACGTTGTTTGATCCCCAGTCGAGCAAGTTGAGGTAGTAGTCGTCTAGAATCTCGGGTGCGTCGAGAGTTCTCTCTGGAGCCTGAAAGAAGAAAACAAGTGTGAGAAGAGAAGATTTCTAAACCCAAGAACAAATGGATGGAAGAAAGAAAGAGGAGAGGAAACATACCTGGGGAATGTGTCTAAACATCTTGCGAGGCCTGGAAGCGCCCGGAGCCGTGTTCTCGCTGTACAAGAGCCTGGATTCCTTGTCAAATCCCTCGGGAGGCGGCGGAGGCCTGTTCTTGAAGGCAAGAATCCGGCTCTCCTTGTGGAGGATGTTGGCGTCTTTCAAGAGATTCTCGGCGAGCTGCTTCTTGTACTCTTCCTGGCAGCAATCGTACCTCAGATGCTGCTGCTGTTGCTGCTGCTGCTGAGAATGCGAGTTCTCCTTGCCGAGCACGAGCATATTTGCGACATCGAAATTCATGGCGCTGCGATCTGGGATGAATCGATCGCTCTGGAGCTGGAGCTTCCCCGGCGTCTTCCTCGGCGGATTCGAGATGAGGCACGGGGCTCTGCCGGGAGTAGAGCAAGTCGCCGTGCCCTGGGCTGCCATCAACACACAAAAGAAACCAAAATTTTCGAGCAAGAAGCACACAAACAAGAAGAATGCGAGCTAGAAAGTTCTACTCTACTGATCTCTAGCTATGAGCGCGCTTGGACTTCGTGGAGAGAGGGCCGCGCGGTTCGCAAAATCGATCGCTTTGCTTCTCTAGAGATTTAGGGCTCTTGATTATAACCCCGGCTCCTCTATCAACGGTCCGATTTTCCAACGGGTCTATGGATGGTTAGGGCTCCTGGCCAAAGGTCACTGGGGTTTATTGGGGCTTTGGATCGATCGCGCTGGCCGCCGCTTTCTCTAGGAATGATCGAGAATGTCGCTTGAAGCAACGATAGATCGTCAATGGTGAGACTCTTTGACTCGATCGCTCTAGAGGAAATGCTGAGTTTGTATGAACTAGGCTTCTCTATTGCAAGACGAATGGCGTGGATTGGCGCATTTTAGAACAGAGAGCCGCCGCAGGGTCTTCAAGAAGACGTGAGTTACTCGCCTTTTTTTCTGCTTGTATGCTCGAGCTTTGTTTTAATTTTGCCAACAGTCCTGAGGAGCGGACTGCTAGCGAGCTCTATGTTTTGGAAGAAGTTTTCTCGGATATCAAGCTCATCAGCAATCTCCCATTTTCTAAACGACTTGAGGCAAGCGTTTAGAAGCCATTTTCTTGGAGATTGACTGTTTTTTTTTTTTTTTGGTTTTTCTTTGTCTAGATTTGTAAATTTATCCATTACGAGGATGTTCCCGAGTGCACACCTGGTAATTTGTGAAGTGTGCTAGTCTCCTGCTGAGCTCTTCACCCGAGTTTTTCACTTGCAGTGTATCGCGAAGGGGACGAGGGCAACAACTTCTATGTGATTTTTACTGGCTCAGTGAAGGTAAGAGGGGAGCCCGTGGATATTGAGCTTTGTCAGTGACTTCATTCTGGTTTTGTAGGTGACAGCTACGTTTGGAAGAAAGGAAAAGTTGCTGAATGCTCTCTATGCTGGAGACTACTTTGGAGAGGCAGCGTTTCTGCACGAACATTACCGAAGGTTTGCTATGGAACTTATTGAAGCCATTCCTTACGTTCTTTTGTCAAGCAGGAGGGAAACGGTGTCGACACTCAGGCGGGTATGCCTTTATAGATTTCTTGGAAAGCTTTTGTGTTGAGGCCTTTTATTATTTGTTTCTGCAAGTGCGAGCTTTTGGTTTTGAGAAAGGCAGACTACGAGGCAGCTCTAAAGACAGACATAACTGAAGAAGTGCGAGATAACTTCAAGGCGTTGCAAGTAAGCATGAACTTTGTTCGCAGAAATTAGAAGCACAACATTCCTTCCTTTTTTCAGAATGTAAACGTCCTGCAAAAGATTGCAAAGGGTGGCATGTATCGTCTAGCAAGCCTCTTGACGTCTCGGAGCTATCCGAAAAACAGAGGTACTTTTTATCACCTCTTATATCTGGAAGTGATAACAACAGAGTTTATATTGGATGATAACAGGCAAAACCAAATGAACACAGTTTATGGATTGATTTTTTGCAGTCATAACTTTCCAGGGCGACGAAGCTCGTGAGATGTACTTCATCAAGAGCGGAGAGTGCCGTGTAAGCTCATCCCGGGGTTTCGTTTTGGTTGTCTAATTAATAGTCTTCAGGTTGTTATGCATGTTGCGACTCCAGGCGATGCGTCTCCTCGTTCTCTTCCTCGAGCTGCCTCAAGTTTATGCCAGTACAGGTAAACCTTGGCTTTGCTACGTAGCACCCGGCGATTTGACCTTGCTTCTCAGGCCTACCACGCACGATCATTGCAAACAAAAAGTGAAGGAGCTCCAAAAACACTGGGGACATCCACATTTTATGACTCGGCCATTGTCTTGCCCGACAAGTCGAAGCCAGTCCGTTCCTCCAATTTCGTTTAGTCCACCAGTGATCTACGAGTATGAGTCGAGCAACATGGCCTCCACAAAACCAGTTGCCGTGACGGTTCAGGGAAGGCCTTCGTCAGCACCGGAGGCACGAGTTACTTTCAAAGACACCAGTGCCGAGAGCAAGCTTTTGTCGGCTCCAAGGGATTTTGACGTATCCAGCAGGCGTGAAGCCACACCAGAACAGGATGTTGTAGGGCGCAGTGTCTCAGCACAGGGACACCAGCGTCAAAGTCGGCTAAAGAGCGAGAAGCAGCAAATGCATCCGAGGCAGAAGAAGGCGCTACCTTTTCTTCCAAGCACCATCAAGCAGTCATACTTGGAACAGGAACAGGAGAATGCTCAGGAAACTTCTGGCCGTTTGAAGTCCATCAGGTTCTCACGCAAATCTAGGCCGCTGTCTCAAATGTCACTGCGGTCTTATAAGTCTAGGAAGGGGAGTAAAGAAGGCCAGACCAACACGGAATACTCCTTAGAGTCCCTTCTCAAGGAGATCAATCACAAGTTTAGTGATGAGTCCATCCAGGACCTGGAGTTTTCGGACAAGGAGGCCATGCTATGGGGAATGGGAACGGCAGACACTGGTTTGCTGCGTGGAGACGTGAGCGACCCTATGAATTACCAGAATAAGTTTGAGGTGTGGGTAAGAACAGTGATATCCAGAGAGAAGAAGTTGCGGGCAATCGAAGAAAACTCGGAAGATGGACTGTCGGCGAGTTTTCGGTCTAGTGAGAACACTGGGACCGAGACTGAGATCGATAAACTCTTCAAGGTATGGTCATACTTTTCAAGCTTTTTATTTGGAAGATGAAGGTTTGTGTTTTGTAGACGGGAACGATATTGGATGTAGGTGGACTTCACGCTGGAGAGTACTTCGGAGAGGTATTCATAGTCGAAGTTTGTTCTTCTTTTTGGGAAGTTTCTTACTTTCTTAAGAAATCCAGGCTGGTCTTCTAAGCAAAGCTACAAGGGCGGCCAGCATTCTTAGTGTTACAGACGTGGAGGTTTTGGTTCTCACAAACTCGGATTTTAGTCGTCGCTTGGACCAAGACATCATTGATTGTCTCTGTGCGGCCGTAAGTTTGATCTCCTTTTTCATTCCTATTGCTGGTTTCAACTTTTTTTTTTCTCTCTTCTCAGAACTACAAGAAGGCCAGCTTTATGCTTGAACAATTCTATAAAACGCATCGGTGGGAGTTGGTTAAGGTGTGCTTAAGTTTTCTCTCTTCCCATGAAGTTTTTCTTTTGTTCTTGGCAGAAAAGAGTAATGAAAGATGCGCTCATGGGAAAAAAGGAAAGGTTTCCAAATCGTTTCTACCACGACATGAGCGACGCGATTCGAAGAAAGGGCATGAGAATCGAGTAGTTCTTGATTTTTTGGAAACTCAGTGGTGCTGGTCCTTTTAATTTTTTTTTTATGTTTATAAAGGTCGTTGACCGTATGGTTGACCAGGTCAATTGGCTATGAATGAATGTGGCGCGCAGGAGGACAAGCAGCCGCGATGCTCGGATGGTGGAGCTGGGATCGATGGCCCTGGAGGAGCTCGAAAGGAGCAATGTGATAAGCTGGGCGAGAGCTCCACCAAGAACAGCAACAAGACCTGGTGGAGCTCTTTTGTGGGGTCGCGAGGAGCTCCAGCGGGCATTGGATCGAGTGGAGCAGCTGGGGGGAATCCACCACATCTCTCTCTCTGTATTTGCAGCGCTCCTCCGCCAGTGCGGGAACGTGAGAGCCTTGAACGAAGGCCGAAGAGTTCACGCTTCACTGGCTATGGTAGCGGCGGATTCGAGCTCGGCCTTCTGGGCGAATCTTCTCATCCAAATGTATGGGAAATGTGGATCCAGCGAGGATGCGCGGGATGTTTTTGACAAGCTAGGCAATCTTCGCAACTCTTACTCGTGGACCATTCTTCTCACTGCATATACCCAAACCGGGCATTTATTAGAGGCGAACTTTGTGTATGAAAGAATGCCTTGTTTTAACGTAGTTGCATGGACGATTTTAATCACTGCAAACGCCAAGCACGGTAACGTAATCGATGCAAAGAAAATCTTCGACGCCATGCACGAAAGGAATCTTGTTTCCTGGAACGCATTGCTAACCGCATATGCCCAAAAAGGATATCGAAAAGAGGCAGTGAGGATGTTCTCTAAGCTGGATCAAGAGGGAGAAAGGCCCAACGAGATTACTCTCACCAGCGTTCTCGAGGCCTGTTCGGATCCACGCACCATATATCTTGGAAGAACCCTCCATAGCATTGTCTCTGGAGACGAGGAGCTTAGCAAGAGCGTGGTGGTGTCCACGGCACTCGTGAACATGTACGCACAGTGCGGTCGATCGATCGAAGCCCGCAGTGTTTTCGACACGATGGCGACCAGGAACTCCGTCACTTGGACGTCAATGATCTCCGCCTATGCTCGAAACGGTCAGAGCTCGCAAGCACTGCTCATGCTCGAGCTCATGGACGTGGAAGGGATCGAGGCAAGCGACGCTACTTTCGTGTGTGCCATTCACGCTTGTGCGAACTTACGAGATCTCTCCATCGCCCTCGTCGTCCACGACGCGATGAAAACCTCTGGAAGCTCACACTTGCACGACCTCAAGGTGGAAAATGCCATAGTCGACATGTATTCGAAGTGCGGCAGCCTCGATCTCACACAAGAGATGTTTGATGCCATGGGCGATAGAAATGTGATCTCCTGGAGTGCTCTCATCGCTGCCTACGCACAGAGCGATCGATCCATCTACGACGCGCACCACGCAATCCGGCTCTTCTTGCAAATGGATCTTGAAGGGATGGATCCCAACGAGGTAACGTCGGTGGCAGCATTGGATGCTTGCTCCAAGCTTGCATCGGTGGAGCTCGGGAAGACCATCCATGCAAACATCATCGTCCATGATGTGGTGGTGGCAACTGCGCTCGTCAACATGTACGCTAAGTGTGGGACTCTCCACGAAGCTTGCAAAGTTTTCTTGTCGTTTCCACAGCAAGAACACGATACCATTCTTTGCAATGCAATGCTCACGGCCTTTGTCCACAATGGCTGCGAGAAGCTGGCGATTGAAACCTTTCGATCCAATCTGGAGCTCCAGGGAATCCGACCCACTTCCGTGACCTTCATTGCCGTGCTCCTGGCCTGTGCTCGAGCTGGCCTTGTGGGAGATGGATGGAGCTACTTTGTTTCGCTAAAATGTGACTATGGGATCATTCCCAGCGTGTTTCATTATGAGTGCATGTTGGATCTTCTGGGACGAGCTGGGCTTGTGTGTGATGCCGAGGAACTTACGAACAATATGCCCATGGTTCCAGACTCCACAGCATGGTTGAGTGTTTTATCCTCGGCTTGTAGGAGTGATCCAAATGTTGCAGACAGAGTTTTTCAAAATGTGGATCTCGACGATCCTGTAGCTTATGTTCTTCTGGCAAACACTTGGAGGAACACCTCAGGAAACCTTGAGGATTGAGAAAACTTTTCATAGTGCAGCTATAGTGGGGGTATAGATTTGACTAGACAAGTAGGCAACCTGTCAATAGAATCTAGCACCACCTATTAATTTTTACTTCAAGAAGGGTCTCAAACAAAGTTGTTCTGGAAAGTAGACTTGGATAGATCTCTTCCAAATCCAAAGTTACCTTCTTCAAGTGTGGAAGATAGAACATTCACATATTGTGTAGTCTTTCTAGGATGTTATCCAAGTTTATATCTCCATCAAACTGTAAATTACTAAATTTTCTAATCATTTCATTCATAAACTCAGTCTTCATCCCAACTTAGGGTACTCTAGTTAAAATGTTTCACATATTTACTTTAACCACATGACTAAAATGAGGTTTTGATGAGTTATATAAAGGATTTAAGGAGGTAATGAAGTTTTGATGAGCCATATAAAGGATCTAAGGAGGTAATGCCACCCATGGAGCATCAAACATTTGATTTTCTAAAGAGGGCTGGCTTCACAAAGTCACCTTAATGTTTATATTATGACTCACCACAACTTTCTTTGGTCACTTTGGTAAATTTCATGTGGTGTAATTCCTTTAGCTAATTAATAGAGTTGGGTTTAAGTATGTAATCAAATGATTTGATTTAATGTAATCTTTTAGATTTAAATTCCCCGAGATGTCACCCCCAATAACACTTAACTTAAAATATCCTAAAACCTTTAATTTCAAACATCCTAAAATCTTTAACTGATTGAAAAAGAAAATATAGGCCCTTTCCTTTTATATTTTAACTCCTATAAAAAAATCATTTTAGACTTTCACCCCACTCTTGGATATATTTAGCTCTTGGATATGTTTGATACTTTAGACACTTGGTTTTTAAATCTTTAGGTTCTAAGACTTTAGTCTTGACATTCTACATATCATGACACTTGCTACATACATACTTTTATCTTTTTCTAGAGACTTGCTTATCTATTGCTTTATGCTTGTTCTTTGAGTGCTTTTTTTGGAGTTTCACTCCTGCTCTAGACTTTTTAAATTAGACTTTTTAGTCTAAACTTGTTATATTTATTAAACTTCCATTTCAGCCACTGTTATATGGTATATTCTTAACTTCATTTTTTAGACTTAGGGATTTGTGCATAAATAAAGTTTAATATCCTCATCAAATGAAATTTTATTTTTGGAAGTAACCTTATCATGGATTACTATTTTCTTTTTGGCACAAAGCCACTATTTGTGAAGTTTAACACCAAAGACTCATTATACTTTGCACATCCTTTAAGGGGCATGGATCCTCCTACTTATACACTCAACACCTCACTTGTGAGTGTTTCCCTTCTCTACTGGTTTAAATCCACTAGAAATACTTAAGTTTATTATTCACTCTAGAGTAGTTTCAAACTATATCAACATAAAAATCACCTTTTGGATTTTTGATCTTTCACTTATTTTAATTTCCTAGATGTCCTTACATCTCCCTATACACATGTATCATCCCAAGAAATTTTTTTTAAGGACCTCTTTTTTATTGGGTACCAATTTAGTCTAACTTTCTAAGAAGTTTTCTCCTTTAGATTTATCCTTAGTTCAACCTTATCAACTTTGATGCTTTCACACTTATTTTCCCTATCTGCCTAAGATGCTTCTATTTGATCATTTGATTGCATAATTAAAATTTATCTCAATTTTATATTTCTACCCATTTGTCAAACTACTTAGTGTTATCACTTCTTTGATCAATAATTTCTACTAGGGTTAGTCATAGGTCTATCATTTTATTATGCCATGTCACCTTTTGAAGTTTTTACCTTTTCCCAATTTCAAGCACTCCCCTTGGAAATCTGTACCTTTTTTTTATATATCTATTGTACTAATTTGTAAATATATTATACAATTGGTAAATAAGTTATAGTGTTGTGGGAAAGACATTTATGTGAAATAGGCTGATAAAAGACTAGTAGAGAAAAAGATTAATGACCTATAATGGATTTATAAAAAAGGAAAAAAACTTTTAAAATGATTCATAATAGAGGGAAGGTCCATAAATACCCTTTTTCAATTGGTTAAAAAGGTTTTAAAATACTTAAGGTTAAGTGTCATTAGGTTTGAATATAACTAGGCTAAGAAACCACAAAAAAGATATATATTTCCAAGGGAAGGAAACCACCAATATGTGAGAAAAGTTATAGATTTCCAAAGGAAAGAAACCACTAAAGGGTGAGTGCTTAGACAACCTAACATATTTATCAATTATATAACATGTTTACCAATCGTAATAATATTATTCCAAAACCTTAATTGCTAAATATCAATCTCAATAGTGTGATTCTTTTAGCTAATTAACAAATTATTAAATGTCAATCTCAATATATGGTATGGTTCTTCTAGCCAATCAATAGAGTTGGATTTGAGACCACTCTTATACTAAATATAAGTTTATAAATTTAAACTTTTTGGAATGTCATTCATTTAAGAACTATTGAACCCCAAAAACACTTAACCTTAAATATTTTAAAACTTTTAATCAATTAAAAATGGGGGTACACTCTTATTCACAATCTTTTCCTTAACCTCAATACACTATCTCTCAAGTTCTCTTTGATTACTTAGTTAAATATGTTATGTTTTCATAAAAAACACACTAATTGTGACAATAACTCTAGAGCATCTCTCACTTGGCGTGTTTGGCTAAACACTCTTTATTAAGAGTCTATGACCATAAAATATATAAATATTCTCATATTCCAAACTATCACTATACCCTAATGTCTATAAAACACAAATCCCTAAATTCCAAAGTTAATCTAAAGATGTATCATGTGACAATAACCAAAATAAAAATTCATCAAGTGTAACATGTTTGGACTAAAAGTGTAATCTCTTGAATTTAGATTTATTAATAGGTCACTCAGGCCTAGTATTATTCAAACCTAATGACATTTAACTCTGAATACCTTAAAGCTTTAACCAATTGAAAAAAAGGATACACTTTTGTTCATGGGTCATTCCTTTTATCTTTGAACTTTTATAGATCATTTTTTGAATTATTCTCTTTGGCTACTTATAATTCACTATGCTTCTTTATAAATTCACATTCTCGTGAACGAAAGCTAAGAGCCACAACTTTTTCAAGAGCTTTACTCTCTTGATACTCTACCCCTCAAGTTGAGCCTAACAAGACTAAACTAGACTACCAAATGTAAATCTTATCATATGGTGTAATTCCTTATAAGAATGATCAAACTAAGTGCATAAAGTGTTGTATATATCTAAAGCTAAATATATCTAGAACCAGGTATATTAGATATTCGAGGCTAGGTTATCCCAAACTCTAGGGGGTTTGGTATGTCCTTAAAGAATAGTAAAAGAAGGACTTAATGTGACTAAGGAAAATTATATTTATATGGTGGTGATGATATAAATATTATGGAGTCTAACACTAAAGAAAACATGAATGGAAACATCTAGTGAAGTGTGTAAAAGTTCATTTTACCTCTTTTAGGAAATCGAATGGTCAATACTCCTAATTCAAATATGAGTGGCAATACCTGTTTTGCATGGCTCAACAAAACCTCACTCTAGCCATATGGTTGAGGCACTTTAGTGGTGAAGGTGGTGGGAATATTTATAAAGCTCATATTGGGCTGTAGTGTTTTGAAATGTCATCCCACTTTTTAAAAGATTGGATGGTCAATGTTTCCAATCCAAATATAAATAGCATTAACTACTTGGATACTTTGTGTGACTCAAATTTGAGCTTTAATAGTTCCTGGGAAATCACTCCAGCCTAAAGTTTGGAAAGTCTGGACCTCAATACAAGCTTCTTAACAATGGCCAGATTTCCAAAGTTTAGCTCTATGCTGCGATTGCTCAACTTGTCCATCAACAGCTTGACTGGGAGCGTCTCCATCAGTGGTAACCTGGGACTGGAGGCACTGGACCTATCACACAACAGACTCAGCAACTCCATTCCAGAAACTTTTGGGGAGATGACAAACCCTGGACATATCCTATAACAGGTTTAGAAGAGATCTACCTGATATTTGGAGCAAGAACTTGGAGCTCAAGTCCTTGCATATTCGCTCTAGGGTGATTTGCCACCAAGCTTGTGAATTTTACGCGCTGGATACAACTTGCTCTCCGGGCCACTGGAAGACTTTGCAAGCATCGAGGGTTTGTGTCTCGGGCTAAACAGGTTTAATGGAACGATCCTGAAGTTCCTGGTCCTCACGGGGAATCTTTTTAGTGGTGCCATACCTCCGGAGCTTGAGAACTGCTCAAACATTAGAGGCATATCGCTCGACAGCAACTACTTGACAGGAACCATCCCAGGCGAACTCTCAGATCTTGTGCATCTCCAGTACTTACTTCCCATGGGGAATCGTTTTAGTGGCACCATACCTCCGGAGCTTGGAAACTGCTCGAACATCAGAGGTATATTGCTCGATGGCAATGACTTGACTGGAACCATCCCAGGCAAGCTCTCAAACCTCTCGCATCTCCAGCAGCTAGTTCTCAACAGCAACGACATCGGTGGGGCGCTCCCTCCTGGACTCTCCAACTGCATGGAGCTCATCGCTCTTTGGCTGCAGCAGAACAGGCTCTCTGGAAATTCAATCCCGGCCTCCTACGGCAAGATGACCTTGCTGATTTTCCTCGACGTTGAATCGAACAACCTCTCTAGAGAAGTCCCAGCCATGCTGCAAAACGTCTCGACTTTGCAGTTCCCCTCTCAAACAACAGCTTTAGTGGCTCAAACTGGCCTCCCTTGCCTCACGAACTTACGAGCTGGATTTCTTGGATAACAGGTTCTTGGGAGAGATGCCAGTAAGCATTGGCTGACTGTTTGCCAGTGTCCAGCTTTACCAAGAGAGCAAAACGGGTTCAGTTGGGGATTATTATGCAAGGACTTGTCTATAAAAGCTTCGCCTACCCGACATCCATAAACTTCTCCTCTAAACAATTGACTGGAAGCATTCCGGTGGCCATTGGCGACCTCTACAATCTCTAACTGCTGGACTTGAGCCATAACCACCTAACAGGTCCCATTCCCGAGTCCCTGGGGATGGCAAGGAATCTCTCTAGGGTGGCGCTCGCAAGCAATCGTCTCAATGGCTCCATACCATCGTCTGTGGCGGACCTATCATTTCTCACCATCTTCGATGTCTCCAACAACAGACAGATACCTGACAGCCCACAACTCTTGTCCATAGACGCAGCTCTCTTCGCTGAGAACCAGCTCTGTGCCTTACCACTGACCAACACCTATTTGAGCACAGCTACACCATTGCATAGGCCTACAAGAGATAGACAAGGTGGTAGCAAACAAGACCAAAGAGATGTGGCAACACTTGTTAGTGTCGCCATCTTCATGGCAGCCTTTTTCTATGCTTTCTTGTGGACCTTCTTGTTTACTCGTCCATTTTGCTGTTCTCACAATCCATCTTTACCAAGCAATGACCATCAACGAAGATTAAGATGAATCCTTGATCCCACCTTCAAGGGTGGTCCTCAAGTTGGTGTTTAATCTCTTCGAGTTCCTTTTCGTTTAACCGATAAGAGGGACAAACCACTACCTTAACACCCTCAATTAGCTCGATCTTATGTTTTATTGGTCGTGAAGGGGGTAACCCCGCCGATAACTCCTTTAGCATGGTATCTTGAAATTGGTATAACACCTACTAAATCACTAAAGGTACTTCTTTTGTTCCTATCTTTTTATCACTCTTTATTAACAGTAAGCATAAAAATGTTGCCTTGGTTCCTTTAATGAATTATCCTATTGTGAATACCAAGTTCAAGCAAGAGTCTTTGGCCTTACATTACTTTACCTTTAAATCCTTGGCTTCCACCCTGGATTGTTCTCCTTTGGTATTTGTCAGTATCACAAAGAATCTTATCCATGCAAGGCTACAATGAACTGATTGAACCAATCCATCTTGAAGATCACATCAAATCCCACCACGTCTAACATAGTGAAATTCATGTCTATTTTCTATATCTTTACTTCAAATTTTTCTTGTCGAAGTACCTCATCAGTGCTTTAGCTACCTTGAACAAACTCTATAGTCCTTGGTTCACCCAACCACTACACTGCTAGTTCGGTTTGCCATGGCTATATTGACTTTGGCCTTCTTCGTTCTCTCAAGAAGTCTTTCACTTCACCGCAATCAAAATATATATTGTTTCCCATGCTACTAGTAGACTTTATTTTCTTATCAGTAAGTTTATTTCTTTTCACTTGACTCTTTCACATACTTGCTCTTTGGCCACAAAATCTACCATTTTGAAACCCCAAAGACTCATTTTTAAGAAAACTTTTCTTTAAATTTCCCTTTGCCATATGTCCCCCTTGGTTTGGCTTCTTTGCTGAATATGAACCTTGACACTATTGTGTTCCCTTTCGTAGGTTATAATTGAAATGCACTTTAATAGCTACATCTAACGCTTCCTTTTAGTTAATCGGGTTCTAATGCATCACTTCGTCTCAAGCCAAAGTTTGTAAGTCTAATATGAAGGTATGAAACACATTCATATCATCCAGGATCCTCTTGGCCATAAACCCATTAACATACTCTTGAATGGTTTTTATTTGCTTTAGCTTATTTAGCTCATCCTTTAGGTGCAGAGTAGCATTTGGAGGAACATAAGTTTTGTGGATCCTCACCTTTATCACTTCCCAAGTAGCCACTAGTCCTTCGTTGGCCTCTGTTATTCTCCACCAAAACTTAGCATTATTTACTAAGTATGGTTTTGCATATGGGACGTTTTTCAAATTTGGTAATTGTAACAGTTGAAAATAATTCTCCATATCGTAAAACCAATCCTCCACCACCTTATAGTCATTCACTTCTTTAAAGACCGGTGGGGGCTTTGGTTTGTACTTGGGATTGAAAGACTGATTCTACTTCAGCTTATTTGACCTTATTCAATTCTACCTCAATCTCTGCCAAAGGGCCCATGCCTTTTGTATTGCTAACATTTGCAATCTTTTGCATTTTTTTTCCACTTTTTATCATGTTTTACCTTGTGTATGAGGGTCTTTAGCAGGGCATTTACATTAATTATCCTTCTAAAATGTTCAATCAAGCCTTGGATAACTAAACCTCCCCTCTAGACTCCTATTTAAAAGTTTTCTCACTAGAGTCTACCTTGTGTAAGGATTCCTCATCCATAACTTCTTCTTTGACTGGAGGCTCTAGCTCTGGAAGAGGTTCCATATCTACCTTGATTATTTTACACCTTGTATTAGCCATCTTCTAATAATCTGCCTCTATCCTTTGCTAGAATTGAGGAAAAGGCTCCGATACTAGATTGTAAGCCACAAGTTTTTCCTTTCTAATTTGTTAGTTTACTTCATTTATCTGATCACTATTGCTTTGGCCTTAAATAAGTTCTTTAGCCAAGCTTCCCATCTATTGTACCAGATCCTATTTGGTTTTACTTGGCTTCAACTATTCACTACACAAACAATAGAGTGTTACCCATCTATCATGAATTCCTAAATTCTCTCCCAATCCCCCTCATCGGTTAAATTGGACTTAAGGTTTAGCTACACTCCCTACAGACACAAGCAACCAAACATGCTAAGCCTCTAGATTTCTAACATCCCTTAGTACAACAAAACTTGATTATAGAACCTTCTAAATCCCAAGCTTTGGGTGCATCATTTGCTTTAAGACCCCGAAGGGAAACATTATGGCATAATAGCTCAGTATGGGTACCCTTATTCCCCTACTTCCATCCTAAAGGGAAGGCCCAAGCCTCTAGGAAGGGGTGAGGACCAATGAGCTATATGGTACTCATGTAAGGCACCATTCCACATGAATTAAGAGCACCATAATTAATTTTCCTTATGGGAGTGGGAGTTGTTCTTGAGCACTTCCTTGGGTGGTTTTCTTGGCACCACTTAAGTCCATGCTCACTCCCACCCAAAACCCCTAACCCTTAGTTCCAACCTCAAACCTTAAGTTAATTTGGAAGCACTACTAGAGAGTTTGTTCAAAACTGAAGACTAGTGCATAGACCTCACTATACCTACTATTCTTTTGGAACCCCCCCCCCCCCATAGGATGATTGTTTTGGGCTTTCACCCATGACCTGTATTAGTATTCGGACTCAGTCTTAAACTCAACCTCGGACTTAGTCTCGAACTCAATCTTGGACCCGACTTCAAACTTAGTCTCGGACTCAATCTCGAACTTGGTCTCAGACCCAATCTCGGATCTCGAACTCGGTGTCAAACTCAGTGTCAGACTCAATCTTGGAGTCAGTCTTTAACTCGGTCTCGGAGTCAGTCTCAGACTTGATCTCGGACTCGGTTTCAAACTCAGTTTCAAAGTCGATCTCAGACTCGATCTTGAACTTGGTTTCATCTGGTGAACTCTTTATCATTCTGATCGTGGTTTCAAGGGTCCTTTATCATATGCCACCTTGGGGAGTTGGTTCCTTACAATTAACAATTACAACAAAATCTTTCACAACTGACACAAAAGGAGGATTTTAAAATTGCCTATAGACTGCAAGAGTCCAAAAAAAAAGAATGAATCTACTAGGAGATATTTACTACAGCTCGTTTCGATTGTTGTAAGCAAGTCATTACTATAGCAGTATGTATCCTCAAATGTGACTCCATAAGAAAGATGCTAGATTTGTAGCTAAGTTTTTCTCACTTTGTGATGCTTTATGAGAATGTTTAGCAATGGCTAAGAGAATTTCAAAGTCAAATTTTCTAAATCCCTAAGTTTGAAGAACAGCAATTAAATTATCAAACATAAAGTGGTGAGGATCTTGAATATATGATTTTAAATAAACTAAGGCAATAGAAAGAATTTATTCTAAAATCGCTAATCACTATCACTCATTTGCCCAGTCTACATCTCCATTGAAGATTTCAACATGTCACTATTTTGAATATCTTCTTCACAAGCATAAAATTCTAATCCCCACTACTCATATAATAGTAAATCATAAGCCAAGTTTAAGAGCCCAAGTTTTATCCCACTAACTCATTTCATAAATGTTTAAAAGCACTTTCTCAATCACTCTTTTTCAATCAAGACTTTGAAAGAGTAAGAGCTATCTTATAGAATCTTCGATGAAGTTGGAATTAAGATAACTCTAATATGAAGACATTTTTGTTCTCAACAAAAAAAGTGAGACTTTTTAAAGATTGAGTAAAGAACTCTTATTTCTAGCTCCTCAAGAAGATGAAAAAAACTTTACTACAAGTTATAATTTAGTGGGGGACAAAAAATTAGATAGACACTTTGATCAAACTCTGCTCAACCACTCATTTTTCATGACTTTCAAGATAAAGAAAAAGAAAACGAAAACTCAAAACACTTTCATACTCACTACATTAAAAATGATGAGGGAGGAAAAAAAACTCTAAAAAAACTACAAATAAAACATCATATTTTTATGCCTCCATCATGGTTACCACTTTCTACTCAGCCTAAAGTCTTTACCCACACTCATTAAGAAGAGTTGCTTGTGTCTTACCATCTGAAATTGTTGTAATGCCCAAATACCAATAGTCCACTACTTCATGCTAAGACTAGCCAAGGATGACACATTCTCCACTTTATGAAGCTTTAGTAGTCCCATAATCAACTATCTAGAAATTAAGCACAACATTCACACATTGGACTGAAGTGTATACACCTTTACAAATACCTATTAGGACAACCCTATGGTCAATGAATGCCTTGAGAATGATTGTTGTAGTGGATGAGACCTCTAGGCCCAGTTAACCCATAAGGTGCAAAGAAATTATGTTATTTTTAGAACCAAAGTCCAAGAG